TTAGGTGCGGGCCGTCGACGCATAGGAGAAGGCGAGCGCAGACGTCCCGGCCGAGGGCGGTGGTCGTCCTGGTAGCGGGCTGGCATTGGAGTGGAGGAACCGTATCGCGCGTTGGAGTCAAGCGGGAAGAAAGGCTCACGGCGGTTTTCATTGGTGATATGCGTCCGGCGGCAATACCTTGCGACGTGTCCGGGGTATCGACAAGCGTAACATATCGGGCGATTATCGAGGGTGCGCCACGGGTTGGCGGTGTTAGTGCTGGTCCAGTGAACTGGAGCTGGGGGATAGCTCGCGCGAGGCTGGAACGGAGGCGCAGGCGCCTTGCGAGTTGGCATGGCTGCAGCCGCGGCGTAGGTGAGAGGAGCAGCCACAAGATTAGGCTCGCGAGCAGCTGGTAAGGCCTCGGCGACCTCTCCTTGAATGACGTCACGTAGAGACGATGGTAAAGTTGTGGTAGCTTCTGGTGTGAAAGGCACCAAGGAAAGCTGTCGTGCAACTTCTTCGCGGACAAATGCTTTTATTTCGGCTATTAGTGACGCGTGGTCATGACCACTGATCACATAGACAGCGATGCCAAATCGTGCGCTGGAGGACGTCTTGTCAGAGCTCGCTGCTTCCGCAATTCATCGTAGCTTTGGCAGAGGCTAATTACGTCGTTAACAGTGGTCGGGCTTTTCGCCAAGAGCATTTGAAAAGCGTCGTCGTCAATCCCTTTGAGGATGTGCTTACATTTTTCAGCTTCCGTCATTTCGGCGTTCACGCGTCTGCACAAATCGACGACGTCCTCTATGTAACTTGTGAAGGTTTCACCCGTTTCTTGTGCGCGTGTGCGTAAACGTTGCTCGGCACGAAGTTTTCGGACGGCAGGTCGATCGAAGACTGCTACAATCGACGTTTATTTATAGCATATCAGGTCCTGCAGTAAAGTAGTTTGTGACGAATCGGTTTTCGTTACACTCAAGAACGAAGCCCTGTAAATGTTATGCTGCTCTAGTCCTTACACTGCGTGAGGGGGCGGATACTCGGAACGCTGTAATCTATTCATGTAGGCGCACCACGTAAATTCGTGATTTCTTTCTCCGCATTCAAAATGCTTCCCTTGGCATTTGAAGGTATTTCGCACTGCGCCATGGCTTTCATGCTTGAACAAGATAGCGTTAAACAGTTCGTTTCGCAGTATTCTGGTGTCGTCGTCGTAGATAGCGACCGAAAAATCGTTATTCAGTGGCGGAGGAAATATTCCTGTTCTGGATTACTGAGCAATACTCGTTCTCACTATGCGAGTAAACTATCGTGGGCTTACGACTAGCCCAGGAACAAAAATATTCGTTAATGTGAATTGCCTCAGTATTCAACGCTTCTTAACACTGACGAATTATTGTTATCAGCTAGCACCCTGACCTATAGGTCGCGTATTTTCGACAATCCATAGCTGCAAAAGAACGTTTACGTGAAAACATTAGCCATTACGCAAACCAAAAGCTTTTACGAAAAGCAGAAATTCAGTGCAGCCAAGTTTTCGCAAATTCATGTTTGGCTAAACTGTGATGTTCACAGGAAAAACTGCACTCATGCACTTTTGTAATGCTTGAACATTTCTAGGGCTTCTTTGTTATTCTACATTTATTTCGCATGCTGTGTTTGTTGAATTATTTCTTTTTTTTCTGGTAGAAGACACGTATATATTGCTTTAACCTCGAAAATATAGCCTGTTGAAACACTCTGTCTGCCATTCAGTCTCGGATCATTTTTTACGCTGGAAGCACCGAGTTTTGGTCTACAGTGCATTTTAAGTCATAAAGCAGCTGCATCATTTCACTGCTCTTTGGAAAGCGGGGTCACTTGTAGGCAGTGCGCCCCTCTCTCCCAGCTTAAACACATGGGGTGGGTCAGGACCCTCGACCCCCCCCCCCCCTCTCACCTCCGTAATTTACGGGGTCTGCAGAGACTTTAAGCTATACACGGTTGGAAAATACGCTAAAAGACAAGATCAGCAACGTTACAGCTGAACACTGTAAGAACAATCTCAGGCACGTAATGGACCATAGAGCAAAGTTCAGACTTCACACGTCTGAAAGTAATTATATTCAGGCCATCGTTCTCCAACTAGGTGAAGGTTAAACTGGAGAGAGCAACTCCAACTACTTCTTGGCATGGAGTCCGCCCAGGAAGACTAACAGTTTTTGTGACATACGGGTCGGCTGCTGACCCTGACCTTCGCGTCAACAGCCGAGTATAGTTTAGCCACTAGACCACTGCGGCAAGGTGTTACTATATACAAAATATCCGAATCGTACCCAAACATAATTGTTCAAGGTAGTTCAATAAAAAGCTCTGAAAAGAGCACGCTTCTGCAAATTCCCAGCGATCAAGCAGCGCCGAAACTAAACACAAGCAAACAAAGAAATAAAAAAATGACATTAGTCTTGATACACCACGAGTTTGTCTGTGACGGCCAGACATTTCGCGCGGAATGCTGCGAGCTGTCTGGCACGGTATGTCTGGAAAAACGGTCAATTAATTGCCACTCATTGCCGTCGAAATGACGCTGACACACGCACTCTTTTCCCTGCACTGAGGTGGAGCGACAGTCTTAGGATGAGTGCACCATTTCTTTTTATGCTCTTTTAATTAGTGCTGCGTCAGTGCGGGACCTTTGAATTCTTTGAGGTTGATAGGCCACACGATGTCGTTCATGCGAACTAAACCAATGGTATCCATAAAAGCTGCTCATGTTGATATCACTCTAAAGGTAATGCGAGGTTTACTGTCTGTAATAGCTCGCGCACACATAGTCGATTTTGTGAAAATACTTATGTGACTGGAGAAGTGAAGACGTTCAGTGTGTTAGGAGAAACTCATTGTAACGTGAAAAAAAAGTGGCAGATCCCACCTACAGTTGGAATAGATGACGTGCGAAGCACGTATAAGGAAGGTTTATATCTCTTTTAAAAAATCAGCAGTACATTACGAAATGGAACGTAAATGCCGCACATGACTTCCATGTCATGATTATCATATTTTAACGTGTCATTTACTTTGGTCGTCTATTCAGGCTACTTCTTAGCAAATTTAGTATATTTGGAGCTAGTGGAGTGGCCACGAGCACGCTATCAGTGTAGCATGTAGTCATGTTTTATATTACACGTCATGATTATCATGTTTGGACGTGTCATTTACCTTCGTCGTCTATTCATGTCACGTGATACCAAGTTTGTTATATGTCATGGAGGAAGAAGTAAACTGAGGAGAGGCCGCTACATCGCATTTTGTGCAGCCGGAAGCAGGGAAGAGTGGAGGACTCCTTCTCAATTGTGGGCCGCATTCCTTCCTCCATGATAGGCATGCTATGGTGGCTCGCGCATGCGCAACAGGTGCCAGCGAGAGGGAGGCGCCGTCGTGCCCGGCGGCACGCCTTGTAAACTCGCTGCCCGGCGTCTCCTTCTCGCTGGCGCAAGAGACGCCGGTGGTGCCTACATTGTCCCACAACTCTCTGCAAAAGAACGTGACTTTCGCCACACTTCTCGCTGTGCAGCGCGCATTGCGAGGGTCTCTCTTCAGCTTTTCTTTTTCTATGGTATATGTGGAGCTAGCGAAACGGCCGCGAGCGCGCTATGAGGGCCGCATGCGGTCATGTTTTACATGGCACGCACATCATGATTACTATGCTTGTACATGTCATTTACCTTCGTCGTCCATTTACGTCACCTGATAACAAATTCGGTATATGTGGAGATAGTGAAATAGCCACGAGCACGCTATGAGCGTAGCATGTAGCCATGTTTAACATTACACGCATGTCATATTTATCACTTTGGCGCCAGTCATATACTTTCGTCATCCATTGATGTCACGTAACTCTAAATTTGATATATGTGAAAACGACGCTAGCGCACTATAAGCGTAGCATTTAGTCATACTTCGCATGACATGCTTGTTATGATTCACCTTCGTCATCCGTTCGCGTCACGTATTATGAAATCTGGTATATTTGAAGCTAGCTAAACGGCCGTGAGCGCATCGTGAGCGAGGCACGTAGTCATGTTCTTACATGACACTCACCTGATGATTATGATGTTCGCACCAGTCATATACCTTCGCCATCCATTCACATGACGTAATACCAAATTTGGTAATTTCGAAGCTAGCGAAACGACCGTGAGCGCACAATGAGCGTGGCGTGTAGTCACGACTCACGACTAACATGACATGCATGTAACGATTCCTACGTTAGGGTCTGTCACCTACGTTTGCTAGGCTGTTATGTCATACCATAGCAGTTTTGAAATAACTAATGTGAACGTCACTACCACAAAGCAGCAAGGCGATGATGTGTAAATCATAACATTCGTGGCATACATCTCAAAATTTTCTTGTTATGACTTGTCACATGTGCTCGTGCTACAGTCTTGTTGTTCCATATTAGTTTTGCTATCGATACCACTTTTGAAATGGTCGTAAGCACTAAAAGTAGTTGGCGGCTAGACAGACAGACAGACAGACAGACAGACAGACAGACAGACAGACAGACAGACAGACAGACAGACAGACAGAAAGACAGACAGCCAGAAGACAGACAGGCAGACAGACAAACAGACAGACAGACAGACAGACAGACAGACAGACAGACAGACAGACAGACAGACAGACAGACAGACAGACAGATAGATCAACAGATAGATAGATACGCGCAGGGTAGCCGAAGTTCGCTAAGAAATGCTTCGCATTTAATAATGGTTGTCAAGGAGTGGTTAGGACGAGTATGTGTGGTTCTCCCTTTTAACCCTGCCTTTGTTTCCGTGTACTATGCTTGGATTGCGCTAAATACTCTGAATGTCAGGGGTTAACAGCTCGCCCAAGCTGTTAGTGCTGTAAACGAAGCCGTAGCGGCGATGATAGCAAGGCCATTCATGGTGTCTTGATGAACTTGAACAGCCTATTGATTGATAGCACTAATGAGCGTCAAATGAAAGGTGGTACGTGATGTGATGTTTTCGCAGGTACAACGATTACAAGAACGACCCGCTGTCGCGCTGCAATTGCACCCCGCCAGAAAATCCAGTGCTCGCCATCTCAGCGCGTACAGACTTGCTTGACCCGAACGGACAGTACGATACCCCATTGATGATCCGCCGTGCTGTCGGGGGCATTGACGCAAAGGTAAAGCACAATATCACAACCCTGGTTCGTGAAGTGGTGTAGGACAATAGTATACAACAGACATAATTGCATTGTTCAAAAAAAAAAAACATTTGCGCGTTGTAAACCAACCAAGCCGCACTGGATTCGCAAATACTTGGTCTGGCTGAATAAGTTGAAAAGCTGACAAACATTTAACGGTTGACTACCATGAGCATTATGCCTTGTGCCGTGAATCTCCCCATAAGAACAGGTTGCATAAAAAATATAGATAATCGTTCATACCTGCTTTATACTGTGTTGCTATTCTAATGCGCTTAAACAGTGATCGAGAAGCTTAAGAATGTCTGCTTATGAGTTATGACGTGTGTTTTGATATATAAAAAAACAGGATACGTAGACATTCACCGGCAATGTTTTTGACAATGTGGCTTTATGAGGTAAACTGATTTTAATAAAAGCCAAAATGACCCTGTTCTGTTTCTTTCCGGAAGGGCATGTTCCAAACGGTCATTGATTCATCAGCTGGTTTGGCGATATAAACTGCACCTCGCTTGAACAGTGGGGCATTCGATTCAGGTGGTTCATGGTCGTGCCATCTGCATGCTGTCGTCGTGCAGGAGATGTTTCAGCATGTGGAGCAACAACACGACGCGGAAATAAATACGAGAGTGTAGATGCCGTGCAAACCCATATGCAACTAGTCTTCTGTCTCGCGGGTTGTAGAGGCTGTAGTTCGTAACAGACGGCGCCGCTTGCGTTCTTAGCATGTGCAACTACCGGAAAACGTTCACTGTCGTACTTTTTGCGTGCCATTGTCGTACTTGTTGCTCACAGGCCGCACCCGTCACACATTTATTATAACGTAGTAAAGCGTGGATACCGTATTAGCTCGAACGTAACGTCACGCTTCTGCACGCAAGCATTGATTGATTGATTGATATGTGGGGTCTAACGTCCCAAAACCACCATATGATTATGAGAGACGCCGTAGTGGAGGGCTCCGGGAATTTCGACCACCTGGGTTTCTTTAACGTGCACCCAAATCTGAGCACACGGGCTTACAACGTTTCCGCCTCCATCGGAAATGCAGCTGCCGCAGCCGGGATTTGATCCCGCGACCTGCGGGTTAGCAGCCAAGTACCTTAGCCACTAGACCACCGCGGCGGGGCACTGCACGCAAGCAGGTGAGTTCAATGAGGCTGTACTTAAAAGACGGACAGAGTGTGAAACGGTCGAACGCGTGGAGTTCGGTCGCCATGAAGTTAGATGCGGACGGTAAGGAAAAATTCACAGTCATTCGTTGTCGCACAGCTAATGAATTTGCTGAATATTTCATTTTGAACATTACTCGGAATATGTTTCATTGCTTCTGCCATTCTATGAAATAGACAAGTGTGTAAATTTACTTTTTCATTTATGCTGCTGAAAAGAGGATTCAGTGAAAGAAGCTGCCGAAAGCTTGAACATGCAAGGAAACGCCTTTCGCTTCACGACAGTACAGCGGGCATGCAAATTATCATATTTCATTCCACGTGAATATGTTAGCGATAGCGTGAAACAGAGCTGATAACGGTGAAGATAAGAACTGTGCTCCGGAGCAAGGGAAGAGAAATGAGTGTGCGGGAATTATGTGGACAGAGCAAAATAACTAACACGTCGATAAATTTGCTGAAGCTAATTAGTGAAGCTTAATTGGCGCAAGGGAGTTAGTGGTGATGTATTCGGGGGTCTGCCCTGAGGACCGGAGCCAGCCAGAGTCTCGGGGAGATTTCGAGGCGAGGAGCCAGGAGCTCCTAACAGTAACTTTTATTTTCTATATTTACAGGTAGCGTGTTGCTTACATGATGGCGTTAGAATCATGGAATCCCTCGAGATTCTGTGAGGTTTTCGGAGCTAGCTTGTCGAGAGCGCCTCGGCAATCGCATTTTATGTCCTGGCCTTTCCACGATTCCCTGCAGGAAAAAAAAAACAATAGAGGCTAGGACAGTCCAATAAATTTTGCCATCTTCACCTCCGCCCCTGAAAGGGGAAGGTGAAACGTCGCCTCCTTCCGAACCCATGCAAGGGGGAAGAGGCACGCCAAATTCAGCCCATGACGAGGCAGAAAACACTGCACACCGTGCACGACACAGCACAGCACGAAGACGTTTGAGTCACACGTGAAAATTAACTGTGCAGACCATTGCAGTGATGAGTATGTGGTGCCAGGCAGAGCACGACTTGTGGAAACAGCGTTATTAGGCACCACGGAGAACGTGGGAAATGCATCCGCCGACGGTTCTCAGTCGCTTGGATTATTGTCCGCGGCACTCTGATGAACAGAGACGTACAGATATAACCACCGTTTTTAAGCTCTTGACTATAAACAGCCTTTCGTAGGTCACCAGTCAGTCGGGTAAGTTCCAATGGTTCTACGAGAGGAGACGGTTGCGCCGCGAAATTCCAAGTATGGCTTGCGTGTCGTTCTAGTCGCTTGTGGTTAACCTCTGGGAGCGCGGTTCTGTAACCTTCTCACGTCCAAGTGGTGCCATGTCAGGGAGGCCGATAATAACAGCCTGTCCACCACCACAGAAGGTCTCGAAGGGGTTGCAGCACCACAGCACTCGGCAGAGGCCGTAGATAAGCTTTCTTGTAGACGTTGACGTAGGCTGCAGCAATCTCTGGACCTGATGGCTAGCAAACGCCAGAAACGAGCCACCCAACACCCGAGGCACAACAAACAGTGAGCACTCAACTGACCTCGTGAAATGCCAAGTCACATTTTCTGATGAAGTCTCTCAAACTTTACAATTGGTGCACTCACTCGTAAAAATCGCGGATCAGCTAATTAAGCCAAGAAACTAAGACCGAATACGTGCGAAGTAAATTAACAGCCTAACATTTTGTATCATTTCCCAGAGAGATTCGCAGCCTTTAAGGCACGCAGGCTCTATGAGCGACACAAAAACGAAAGGGGGTAGTTAAAGAATCACACCTGTTACTGCATAAGTAAAACACAAACTCAAACTCACGCGTATAACACAAAGCAAACATATAAATAAAAAACCTACTCTACTATAATGCGCATACCAGCAAGTATAGTGCAAAAACAAAAGGTTTATACCAAGGCTTTTAGTCAGCCTTCTCTGTTAACTCAACTTGCGCATAAAACAGAGAAGCAACAACCTACTCTACACTGATGTCCGTACAGACAAGTATACTGTAAATCACAGGAAATTATACGGGGGCCTTCAGTAAGCTTACACCTCTGCTGAAATCAACTTGCACGTAAAACATAAAAAAAAACAGAGAAACGAGAACCTATATTATACTGCAAAACAGAAGATTTAAACAGAGGCTTTTACCTTCAGCCTACATCTCTGTTGAAATCAGCGCAAAACCCCCTACTCGGGTGCTAGGTTTTGCTTAATGTAAGCAAAAGCGCAGTTTAGCAAATATCTGAATGTCTGTAGCTGTGATGAGGAGGAAAATAAAACTTTCAAAAAATGCCACCCCCGTGTCGTCTTAGCAAAGCGCTGGAAACACTCCCCGTTTCGTGCAAGCGTTGCTTGGTCAGCGCAGCGTGTTAAATGGTACGATCATTAGAATTACTTATGTATGCCTTTTCTAGTAGAAGACGCACATGTAGAACATATGCGTGTTGTTAAGGTGCCTCAGATATGCACAGTAATTGCTTTTTAATTGACAATCGCACAAGTATGAACGCTGAATCTTGAGCGACATTGGTGGGCGCTGCGGATGAGGTGAGCCGTTTGTGGCATCGGGTGGTGCTGTTTAGAATACCCGGAACTGCTAAAGATAGATAAACAGACAAATGTACAGACAGACAGACAGACAAACAGACAGACAGACAGACAGACAGACAGACAGACAGACAGACAGACAGACAGACAGACACCAAAAGTTTTGCGTTTAAGGTCCGCAAGAAAGATTATCGTCTTAAAAAAGCCAGCCTCTCCAAAGTACTCAGTGGCAGTGACCTTTGTTCCGTGGCCCACAAACACCCACAAAGAGGCACCCGGACGCTTAAGCTTCCTCGTTGTGGGTCTCTCAGAACAGCGGTCACCTTTTCGCAAACGTGGGGGAGGACCATTGTCGACAGTCGCGTACGCTTCACCTTACTTTGCTAAACCGTTTAGCCTTCACAAAAAGATGATCAAACTAGGCGACTACTTCGGCGTCTCAGTTCTTTCGCATTATTGACAATCTTCATGCCGATTCTCGCTTTTAAAGACGATAGTCTTTCTTGGGGACCTTCGACAAAAAAAATTTGGTGTGCCTGTCTGTCTGTACGTTTGTTTGTTTGTCCGCCCTTAACGATATTACAAATCGCACCAAACGGCCGACCCCATCCGCAGCGCCCACCAATATTACTCAAGATTCAGCGTTCATAGTTGTGCAATTGTCAATAAAAAGCAATTATTGCGTATATCTAAGGGGCCATAATAGCATGTAGATGTTTTTGTATGTGCAGTTATACTATAAGAGGCACACACAAGTAACCTTAAGGACTGTAGCGTTTATCTAGGTGCGCTGACAGTGCGACGCTATGCTCAAAAAGGTAAGTGTTTTCAACGATTTGCGACAACGACACGGTGGTGGCACTTGCCCGTCGCTTTGCGTTCTACACCTTATAGGCTGGTGCACACCGCCGACTAGCAGCGGTCACGTGACCATTCGCCACTGGCGACCAGAAAGCAACTGATGTTCACACTGGCAGGGCTGCATGTGAGCGACCGTAAGTCGCGAAACCTGAGAATCACGTCCGGATCTCGTGATCAGCGAGAACTCCCGAGACCGCGCCGATCAGCTGATCGCCGCCAGCTGAGTGAGCGGAGCGAACCGAGCGCGCCACATTCAATGTTTTCGTCCGTTCTCGCACAGCGTTCCCAACAGCGTCAAGGAGTTAGATTCAAGCGAAGAATAAGAGATTGCAATGGTGTCACTGCTGGCAGCACAGATGCCTCCAAAGACGCGGGATCAAAGCCCAGCTGTGGCGGCTGCATTTCCGATGGAGG